ACAGACTCGTGTCAGTTGTGCGTAACTTTCGCCGTACCTTGACCGCAAGACTAGGAAGCGCTGCAGACAGAACACTCATGTAAAACTATTGAAGACTCGGAGCCTTCACACTCCTACAGTACTGTACCTACTCCACACGACGAGGAAGTGCTGCACACAGACCACGATCGAGTCGTGTGACCAACTGACATCCACAATACACTGGATGCAAGCAATTCTATTGTATCGTCTACAGCATTCGAAGCACGCTACAGAGCTGGCTGGTTACTTTTCTGTGGGTCATTTGTCATATATCCACATGCGGTGGCTTCGGTTTGCAATGTTGTTGGTCAGAACCGTGTGGCGACTTTGGTCGTTCGTAGGGCGAGCAATAGCCAAAGCAGCTTCCAACGCTGCGACATGGGCTGGCGTAGGGGCAATGGGAAGACAACACTTGCATCTAGAGAAGTGAGAAAAATGTCGAACACATCGCTTGCGATAGAGGGGATGGCCAGGGGCGAAGGGGGGAGAGGTGGGGGGCAAGTAGGACAAGTGGGACGAGTGGAATCGGTGCCGGGTCTGGAGGGACGAGTCGACGCGAAGGCGGGTTTGATACGGTTTGGGTAGTTGGCGAGCCAGAACTGGCGGCAGTTGGGGCCTGGTTCGAGTAGTCATACTAGAAAAACGAGGTTCAAAGAAGGAACCAATGTTGTTGTTTATCCGACGTACTTCATGGGGGCAAGACTCGCAACATAGAGGGGCGTGGACGACGACGGAGATACGACCACAGCCAAGGTCATGGCTGCCGACGTGGCTTGCATTTGACGTGTGGGGACGGCTATATTCGGGACGAGTGCAATGTGTGGCAATATTGCAGCCACGAGTTGGTCCGACTTCGTTGGGTCCACTGGAAGTGGAAACAGGGATTGTTCCTCGTTATTGTCGTTGGGAGTACTCGTGGTGGGAACATTCCCAGTCGACGGATTGCTGTTACTACTCCGTCGTCGATTCCCACTTTTGTGGGCACTTCGAATGGCCAACCCGGCTTCGACGAGGGACAACGACACCTCGTGGGTTTTAAAGTGGCACACGACGCGGAATTGGTCTGATGACGTGGCAGTCTGAGCGTCGTCCACGGCTACCACAGTGCCGAAGTGACCCACATGGTACACGGGCTGGCCCATACATGCCGCGGCGTACAACTCGTGCCAATACCGAACCATCTGAAGCGTTCGGGAGCGAGGACAACAGCCCGAGTATTCACATCCTGCGGCAAAGTCGGTCCCCGTGAACCGAAACGACAGTCCTCGCTACGATATACATATCCAAAATCGTTTAACCCTGGATTGGCGGCGCCAATGAACGTCCGTGAAACGTACTTGATCGATTGTTAGCACGACCAGCTTGCCTTGCAACTCCACTCCTCGATGGTACACCCGGACCACCTACATTCGTCCCCACAAACGAATATGAACCATTTCACAAATCCCATTGGTCGTCGTGTATCGGACTTTTACGGCAAACTGATATAGCACGCGACCACATGATATATCAGTGTCGCATAAAAGTGTAATGTGACGTTAAGTGCCCTAGCACATACGTACGGGAAATTGCAGCGTATTGCCCTGTCGAATGTCTTCGACCCGGAGCTTGGCGAGTTGGCGTCGCAAGACGCTTTGAATCTGTGTCGCAGCGGTTGACATGTGTTGTAATCTCCGCCGTGTCACACATCTACATGTGTATTAGTATTGAACAACCGTAGTCTGTCAACTAATGCCGTGTCTTACCCTCGACGCAGGGCTTGGATTTGGGTGGCGGCACGCGCACGTTCGTCCCGTAGGAATTTGCGGCAATGTAGCAATTGCTGCAACTGGTACATTTGATCGTCGCGAATGCGGTCGCACAGCTGGACGCGGACTTTGCGGTACCGCACGACATGCCCCCGGTACATACGCTGGATGTTTACCAGTGCTTCGTAGTGCAGCATCGCTGATGTTTGGTACTCTCTTAATCGTTGTAGTTGGGGCAACAACTGCACCGCAATCATATGACTGGTCAGAAAGGGGATACAGTGTGTAGATTTAGAACTATGGTAGTCGTACCAGAACGTACGAGCCTGGGGCCGTGGCGGCGGGCACGAGCACGAGTTGGTTGAGAATTTTCTCGGCTTGTTCCGTGGACAATCGCACCGTCGAACGCGCCTCGTGCAACAGCGCCTGCTCCTTGGGGGTGCTACTTCCCCCGTGCGTCCGGCGACGGTGATGAAGGCCCATGAGGGCTTTGCGATGCCCTGTTATGTATTATGGAAGTACACACCATTTTCAGCTTAAAAAGTGCAAATTCTATGAAGAGTACACGTTTTGATGTGATTTCAACCGCACCTCGCAAAGCATTGGGGGGTTGTCGTGGCTCGAGGTCGTGGTTGCCGTTGACTGAACCGTTAGCTAGCGTCGAAGATGAGCCATGCGAGTGATTGGTGTCTGGTAAAAGCAAATACGACAGTTCGTCGTCGGCAATGTAGAGGCCATTGCATATCGCAGGATTGTCTGGAAGAAACGCTGCAAAGTGGTTGAGTCGCGATACGTGGACGGTGACAACCATGGAGGTTCCATGGCCAGTTGTCGTGGGAAGCGTAAACGTGCGGTGCGACAGCCGCACGTGCAACGTAGGGGACAGCTTAAACAGGCAGAGAAATCGCTTGAAGTTGAGGACAATGTGCTCGCAAAGCGCTTTGCGGGCCAAGTAGGCGGGAAGGGGGTACTCTAGCGGATTCGCGTTGAGCGCTTGCTTGTAATACGACTCGGCGCGCTTGACAAGTCCGATAGACTGCAAGTAGATGGCGAACACGACACACATGACTGCATTGCCTGGTTGCCACGCCAGGCCAGCGAAAAAGTATTTGGCTTCGCACTACGAAAGACGAGTTTGCAATATACTATTTCTTTGATCAATGGAGTTTGCATAGCGTTAAGGTAGTCATGATTTGCATACGTTAGAATGCACCAAAGCAACCTTGCTTTTCCTGTCGTACGTATTGAGCCAATGATGATAGATCGAGACGTACTTGCTTCAACTCGACAGCGTCGGCTAGCCCCAACGTCTTGGCTTTATGAAGATATAGCATGGCCAGCTCGACGCTGGCACATTGTACTTGTAAAATCACAGACATCAACAAGGGAAACATGGGGTGTGATGGGAACCGGTGCAGGCCGTCCTCTACCAATAACGTGGCACCGCGAAGGTCGTACAGGCCGAGAAGGCGAGCAAACGTGCACGCGAGAAGCGACGGCTCTGTGGCATGGTTCCAGCTGCATCCTTTGCACCGGGTGCACACCTAGAACGAATGACACACGGTGTTGTGTTTCAACTTCGTACAGCGTGTCGTTGGGTTGATAGAGCCATCGCTCTGGCATTGGCTTGGTTCTTATAATGCATATGCTTCACCCGCTCTCGTCCTTGAAGGCCATATGAGGTGTATGTCCGTGAAAAATGGTAAAATACCTCGGTATCCGCGGTAGACCCGCTGAATCGTCAGGGTGCTGGTGGTGTGTTTATGAAAGCGACGTTCGTGGGCTGCCCGTCGCCCCCGATGCCCCCGCACCACGCGTTGGAGAAGTTGCACTTTCGAAATGGTGTCAAGAACCAGCGCGATCGCGAGGCGGTCACTACCCACAACGCATAAGGCATATTCAATGACGTGGCAGCCTACCGTGTCAGTACGCCACGAACCCACGCCTGGATCTTTCGTGCGTGCACAAACACTCTTCGCGCTCGAATTCGATCAACACGCTGGCGACCGCGATGGCCTCGGAAGTGTCGCTGGATGAGCAAGGCGTTGTGCTGGTTGATGGGGCCAAAGAACGCGTGGATGGCGATCCGGCAAAGGTACCCTCGAATCTATATGTACAAATATGTGCTTCAACCTACGACCGATGGAATCACAAAGCGTACGAGGCGTTGAATAGCCAGGGCCGCGTGGTGGGCTTCCGCGGAATGGGCTGCTGTCGTGGACGCCAAGGGGGTACTAGGGTCGTCCTGAAGCAGCGACGCCATCGTGTGTCGCCTGAGTTTGGAGTTGTACAAGACGAGAATTCGCTGGTCGAGGGCGGAGAGCTGCACGGGGGGCTTGGTAATGGGACCAGAGATACCTTGGGATTTTGTTGTGTTGACTGGTTGTTTTCGCTTCGACGTGGGGGTACACTTGATCTTCGAAGCACTAGAACTCCAACCAGTGGACTTGATGGGACGACCCATCGACCGCGCTACCAGCTGCGGCAACTTGGTCACGTTGACATCCCGTCCCATTTTGAGTCGAATGACAGTTTCAAAGCGCGCGTGGTTGAACCGACACAGCGGGCAAACAACAACCGCATTGAGGTGCGCGTGACCTACAAGTATATGCCACCAACGAAAGTCGCTTGTCATTCTTGTAATATCTACCATCAATGTGTACATGTAGACTACTACTACAGTACCGCTGCTGACACCCCCTTTTTGTCTTTATCAGCAACGCTTAACATCGAATCAGAACTTTTACACCTTCGCTGCAAGCTCTCATTTAGGGGCTGTTTTAGGGGGTCAGCCAAAGTCTAGCGGATAAAGTCTACAACACACCAACTATGCATGGGAACACGAGTGGAAAGAGCGCGATATGCCAGGCTATGGCTTGTAGCCAAGGGCTTATGCCGTGTCAGGCCTCCAAGTAACTTCCGTAACGGCATCTCTCCAAACTATCTATTTCCATCCCCCGCGCCGCTACAGTACATACGTACGCTGGACATCTGTTCCTCTTTGAATCAACATGGACAGCGGCAGCACTGGGAGCAACCAGAGCACGACCGTGTTTCTGACCGAAACCAAGGTCGCGCGGCATGCATATCCAACGCCGGAGCTCGCGGACGTCGAGCCCCTCGTTTCGGGGGTGTCGCTGGTACATCCTCTTCCTTCCCTCCCTTTGAGGACAAGTTCCCCTCCTTCCATCTCTCTCATGACCACGCTATAAACGTTGTTGCAGATGTCGCAATCCACTTTATTGCTCAAGAAACGAAAGGAACTTCGGGAAATCAACGATGCCCTGGACTTTATGAAGGAAGAGTACGCGCAGCGCGTCGAGACGTGTGCGGAGCGGCAGCGTGAATTCGAGCGCAAGCAAGATGAAATGCGCGAACAAGTGGCCAAGTTTGAAAAGTTCATCAAAGAAAACGACTCGAAACGCACGCGGGCCGAGCTCAAGGCCAAGACGGAGCACCGATCGGCTGAACAGAACGACGTCCGGAAGAAACAGCTGGTGCTCCAGCTAGACAAGGACGTGGCTAGTCGCGAGTCGCTTGAAAAACGGAGGGACCAACTGCTCAAGTACCGGACATACTTGGATTCGGCGGTGGAGGCGTCCGAGCAAGAGTACGAAGAGATTGCCGACATTTTGAACCGCCATGCCACGTTGTTGGATGCCAACAACGATCTTAAAGCGCAAGTGCAAAGTGCCGAATCCCAGGTACGATACGTTATATGACGTGGCAGCACCAGGTGGGGTCGTCCTATATTGGTGGATAGATTGACAAACTGCGGCAAGACCTGCGGACGTTCAAAACCGAGATGGAAAACACGATTTTAGTCCAAAACAGTGAAATCCATGGGTATGAACGAACATACGACTTTAACCGAACGAATGCACGAACGATTGTGTCGTAGACACCAGCAACACTTGGAAAAGATTCGCGGGGAAACGTTTCAACTCGACTTGGGCCGCGGCCGCGACGACCGCATCTCGAACGACCGCAGTCGCGAGTCGGGGCAAATCGTGCTGGCGATCAAAAACCTGTACAACCGGTGCCGCACCAGTGGGAAAATTCCCCCCGTGAAGGAAACCCCCGGCGAAACCATGGTGTACATGACGGCGATATTAAAAGTGGTCGCGGAACGAATCGTCGACTTGGACTTTATCACGACGTCGTATGCAGGCACCAGTGGTGGCGGGGGCGGCAGTGGGGGTAATGTAATCGAAGCGGGGGGCGCCCCCAATGCAAGACATCTCAAGCAAAAGAAACTGCCTCTGTAATGCAGTCCATTGTACTTCGGAAGTACTACTATAGTACGTATACTACTTTCTACTACTAGTACTACATCCTACTACTAGTAGTTGTACTGTCACCAGAGGTGGTACTCGAGTACTACTAGTACGTAGTACTAGTAGTACAGTACAGTAGTTACTTTGATTACAGTATTGTGTCAATGACATTTCAGTTGGGTGGTCCCAACCGCACTTGGTCATATACAGTAGTGGAAATAGTATTGTGATGTCGAGAGTGGTCCCACGTTCCACTTGCAACAACCAAACAGCCGGGGTAAAGGATGAAGAAGTCGAGTGAATAACGCAAGAATGGTTACCGCCAGATAAGACGTGCAGGGCGAGATCTCACTGGATGGCGTCGAAGATGGCTGCGTTATAAGGCGAGGCAAAAGCTGGGCTAGGAAGCTACGGGAGATTGTACTTGGGTAAAATCCCAGGGAGAGGCAGGGATGAGGTTTAGGCTTCGTCGATAACACCTCGTCGAAATAGCGTTCATATTGCAAGTCCTAAGTTATCTACAGCATGAATTCTATCCATATTGGGCTTTGTATACACACACCAAATAAGATTCAAAATATTGGCAAGATATTTCGTCCTCCGAACAGTCAGATATGGATTTATCGTATCCACATAGTATATTTTAGTCGCATCGACGGCTTCCCTTCTTGGTTCTGCTTGGGATATTTCCCAATCGGAATAGTTCACCTAGCCATCAACTGCGTAAACGGGCCAATGAGCGCCGGGCGAATTCACACGATGGGGAATTTTACCCCCTCCAATTTCAGGGGAGACAACCTTACTCTCGAATCTCTGACCAAGTGGCCGCCCCGAGCCTCGTTGCTTTCAGTCCCGTATCTCTTTCTCCGCGGCGACCAACCCGCACGAGCCTCACCTCCACACAACTAGCCTTGTACATCTCAATCCTATTCAATGGACTCCCCGCAACGCTATTCCTTGGCGCCGCCGCCAGGCATGATGCCGCTTGGCGGCGTCGAGATTGACATTTCGTCCCTGTCGCTCGATGCCGCTGGCCCGATCGGGTTCCGGTCCATCACCCAGCCGCCTCAGTCGCAACCCGAGGCGGAGCCGATGTTGGACCACCATCGTCTTACCACGTCTTCGCCACGCGACGGCAGTCCCCGTCCGTCGTCGCCGCCGCTCACGTCGACCACGGTGCTCCCCGCGACCTTTCTCAAAACGATTTGCGACCAGCTCGAGTTTTACTTTTGCGACGACAACCTCTTGGGCGACCTCTTCCTTCTCAAAAACATGAACGCCGATGGCTACGGTAATCCTGGTGGCGTATGTTGATGTGGCGCGATTCATCATAGCTTTTGTGTGGTGTAGTCAAACTCGAGTTGTTGGCATCGTTCGGTCGCGTGAAGAAGCTGACCACGGACTTGGACCTCATCAAGCAAGCGCTGGAACTGTCTACGAAGCTGCTGCTCAGCGAAGATGCGCTATCGGTATGCCGCAAAGATCCGTTGCCATACGACCAGACGTACCACGGCAAGTTGGCGCGCACGGCGATCGCTTTCAACTTGGCGGAGGATGCGTCGATAGCGTCGTTGAAGGAAGCGTTTCGAACGTGTGGGGAAATTTCCTACTTGCGTCTTCTCAAGAAGAACGGCGTCACAGGGCGTAACGCGGTGCTCAAGCCGCCGATTGCCGCGGGCGAAACGTATGAAACCTCAGACCTGTCATGATGACATATCATATATTTTTGTGGTTGTTACAGGTACGCGATCATCGAGTTTGAAGACCCCGACATGACCAACCACGCGGTGCTGACGTTATCGGACCAGTACAACTGGCGTACGGGCATGCAAGTCGTGTTGTTTGACGGGACCACCACGGACAAGCTCAAGCAGCGCATGTTCCCAGTGGACACGATGGACCCGCAACGGCGCGGCCGCGCCAAATCCGCCGCCGCCGCCTTCATCACCCCAGGCGGCCCTCGCTTGTCCGTGTCGTCTTCTTCTTCTTCTTCTGGAGGTGGCGCCTCGACGCCCGTGCACGTGGACGCAGTGGGCGAAGGCCTAAACGACCTGAGCGAAGGCAAAGTGAGCACGGGCACTGTGTTTTCGATCCGGGGCGCGGGCGGGTTGATTACGCCGGCGCGGCAGGATGGCTCGTCTATTTCGTTTCGACTCGTGCCCGATGACGACGGTCTCGTGGACATTCGACAGGGTGACTATGTGAGCTTTACAGTCGGCAAAAACAAAAAGTCGGGGCGCAAGTATGCATCCAAAGTCAAGCTCGAGTTTCGCCCGCCATCCAACTTGCCAGCGTGGGGTGGTTTGGCTGGTTCAAGTCCTCGCCAGGATCGTAGCAGTGGTCGGTATGAGATTCCCGCGAGCCGTCACCGCGCCCAAACTGTCGACACGGCGACGTCTTCGTCGAGTATGACCCGCGGCCGATCCATTTCCACTGGCCAGAACAACCTGCCGCGCCCGCGCCTGCCCCTTAAGTCCCCCGAGGCAGGGTACCGCACGCCATCGTCCACCGCTGAATCGTTTCGCCAAGCCATGGGCCCCGATGGTATGTACGATATTTGATTTTGTTTGGAGCGTGACACTTTGTAGGCACGCGCGGGTTTGGTGAGACGAGACAGCGCCAAGCGTCGCATGAATCGGCCGCGTTTGCACAGGAACTGTCGGGCCGTCGGCGCGCCGCGTCGTCCACGATGCTCCCTCCGTCGTCCTTTTATTAACTATTTGGTGTATATGTTGGGTACTTGGATTGGGCTGCTGCAGCTGCTTTTTACTTAAAATTGAATAACAGATTGTACACAACATCAACGCAATATGATTGGCTACAAAGGACGATCGTTGCAGTCTGATTGGCTACAAAGAATGCACGAGTACAAGGATACTATGTCGCAGATAACGTTATGGCGGTTGGGAATGTTTGAGGAACATAGACGGCCAATTAATATGGGGGTAATGTACGGATGAGTTGCAAAACCCCTCTATTGGGTGTTGGAATGCATTCTTTATTATTATTTGATCGGCTTGAATAGACTTCGTCTTTGCGTTCGCTTACTTTGATTTCCACACACATCAATGCAAATTAAGATGGGCGGTATAACGGGAAGTCAAACACAAGTCTAGTATACATAAGAATAGGCTTGATTATAGTATGTTTCGTCCAGATGAGAGATTCTATCACCCAGGACTTCAAGTTAAGGTATTATTCTTACTGTTAGTACACTAAATGATCTGAAATGGTGTATTTTTCATCACTTTTAGTCCAAGTGATATAATCTCTTGCCTGGGATAAGCCAATCAAACGACAGTATCATGGACTCTGATTGATGCATCGCTTGTTTCATCCAATGTCGAATATGTATTGTGGATTCGGTACGAATTTCCAGGCCCCGTCGAATCGAATCTCGTCACCGAATCGAATCACGAATCGACGCTATTGGCTAATCCAATTTTGAGTGAATTTGATTGGCTTATGCAGAAAGGACAAGTATATTCAACCAATCAGAACTCCGGCATGATTCAACATGACAAACCCCGCGAGTTTTGGAAGCAATATTGGCCAATATCCTTTTGTGAGTTCTTATTGACTTTGGCATCCCCACCACCGGCTGATGTAGAAATGTAAAAATCTTCAAAGTACATCACTACATATATTGTGCTTTCGAGTGAAATTTCGTGTTGTGGCGTGGTTTCTCGTTGGAATTTAAATCGATTTGATTGGCTACCTCAGATGAGCTCAACATTATTAGCCAATCAAAACCTTCTCAATGAAATTCAACCAATCAGATCGATTGTGGATCGGTTTGGTCGGCGCGATTCGATTGCACCCTCCCCAAATTTGTATCAAATCGACAATATCAGGAAAATTAACATTTTTCAGATCCACACCGGTTGCCAATAAATTTTACATCATGATGTACTGTAAACGCTCCATAACACGCAGATTTCTCAACAGATCGATCTGTTGGGTCGATTACAGTTCTATGCGATTGAGGTCCCAATGGACTTCTTCAACCAAGCATGCCATCCCGACGTCCTGCAGCATGATTATGAATCTTACACACAATAGAATGTAGAAAAAGCTCGGTTAAAGTATGCGATTTCCGTTTTCGAGCGATTCAATTGGCTATTCCTAAATTTAAGCAATTTTATTGGCCAATGTGAGTGCACCTTTTCTGTAGCGTGTCCATAACCTCCATCTACGTATATATGTGCGCGTACTTGGCGAACAATATGCAAGGCGACTGTTGAAGCAAGGACAGCGATAGAATAACAATATTGGTGAATCGACCACATGATAGTTTTCTCGGTCAGTTGAGCGCATTTCACTTCACATGGTACAAGAACACTTTTACTACATAAGTGTTATCCCATGGACGACGAACGACGGACATGCTGATCGCGCTGGGTGTCGTGAAGGAGCGCGATGGCGTCCTGGACGAGAGGGCAGTCATCTCCATGGGACAACGTCAACCTACACGACAACATGACAACGTGGAAGACCATCAGATGGAGTGGGTCGTACATGCGACAGGCCTCGCGCAATGACGCGACGGCGTCATCATCATCCGGATGTTGATGCAGGAGACGGGCATACTTGAGCTGGCACAGCCCTTGAAACGCCTGCATGTGGAAAGTCGAGTACAGTCGAGACTGGTTGGCTAGGACGTGGCGGTACGCGGTGATCGCATGCCGTACGTCCGACGGAGTGGCGACGGCGGCGTGCTACACAGACCAGTAGTTCACTTCATATTGTGGTGTGTTTATATTCTAAACTGGAGCGGTATGGAGAATGAATCGACACAACCAAATATATGTACACAAGAAGAATTTAGCCAATTAGATTGCAGGAAATCGTCGTCAATGTTGAATTAGTGTATGACTTGAATTAGTGTGATACCAATCACCCCAGGATAACTTTTTACATACAAAATTCAGTACAAAGAAGAATCGATCGATAGATTTTTGTCGATTCATCACAAAAGTCAACCAAATTCTGGGTAAAAGGACAATAACAATTGTGGGTTTTAACAAATTGGGCACACAATAATAGACTACCGTATAGTGTATATGTATTGCGACAGGTGATATTTCACAACCAGCCGACACTCATTCTCAAAATTTTGTTAATCGATTGCGTCATACAAATTTGAAGTATATTCAACATGTTCACAAGTAATTTTCAGTTATTACAAGAAAATTATCAGTTATTACAGGAGTCGCAATAGATTAACCCGTCGCAATGCAAATACACTATACGGTACTTGGTGTGGCCAATCAGCGGGAAACCTCCAAAGTTGCAACGCGATTTCGAGTGGAAATCTGGTTCATGCGATAGGCTAGCACTTACCTCGGCGCTGGTGATGAGGTTCGCCGTGGTTTCGAGAGCTAATGTGAGCGCGGCGTGTCGAGGACCGTACAATTTCTACATAAAACCGCGTAAAAACTCATCGATATTATAGTTTGAGTGGCATACCCGAGCGAGGGCGACCGCTTGTAGCCGGCAGTCCACGGCGCCGCGGGTATCGTGAGACTGTTCCATGGAGTCTGCTTGGGCTTGTAAACGGAGCAGTTGGCTCAACACGGCGTCTCCGCTGCATTCAGTTTCGTCGGCAAATGTATGGTCACTCAACGGCTGAAGGAGAGATGTGATTGCTGGATCTTCGGGTGTCTACAACGTCCAGCAGGTTAGAAATTTATATATATATATATATATATATATATATATATATATATATA